AGGGGAAGACAAAGCGGGTTAATTAATACCAAACGCCTCACGGACAGAAGGAACATCGCGGTGGGAGGGCAGAGTGGCGATCTGGGGGCGGGAGTCTCCCCATGACCTCGCTGGTCAAGTATAAACGAAGACAAAACCCTCGGCGTTCAGACTGAGCCAGCGAGAGCTCCACCTTCTGTCCCACCCAAGTTCAAAAGCACCTATGTGAGGTTGTTGGGAAAATGAGAAGTCAGGAGACAATGCCTTAAACGTGTGCAAAAAAAGTAGTAAGAGCCCAGAGTCACCCAGAAGTCTTTGAATGCGACTGCCCTATAAGTCACTGCAGGAGTCCCTTCCTGGACAACCAGAATCATTTGGTAGGACCCCCCCACGCTCATAACTACTTCCAAGATCCTTCCTCCAACATGAGGGGATTTGGGACTCGGTTCTAAGTCACAGCCCCTTTTGAAGACACCCCAGTCATTGGTGAGTGCAGTAACTCAAAGAGAGAGTGTCTGATACGCTGTGTTATGCAGAACATCAAGGATTTCTGTTGGATATTTATGGAAGGAGACTGCTGGATTTTCTGCTCTTTAACTTATTATCACTGAAGAGTAGCACGTGCCCACTGAGGAATAATGGCGGCGCCCACGAGGAGTAGCGAGGTGGCCGAATTAAAAGGTCAATGCTACCTGTCCCACCTGGATACCACTGCGAAGGGTCGACACTAGAGTAGTTCAGAGGGTGTCATTCCAGACCTTTTCTTTACATACACAAACTGTGTAAACGTGTACCTCTTTCTTCCCCGAAGCTTCTAGATATAAATCTAAGGCCAACATTAAAGCACTCTTTTCTCTTGAGCTCCATTTGATAACTGAGTGCTCGTGTGAACCATGATCTAAACCAGAACGCTTCCTCCCGTGGGGAAGTACTGTGCCGAATGCCAGGGCCCGGGGTTGGAGCCACGTTTGAGCTTCTTTTCAGCCCCACAGCTGTGGAGGTCATCGTGGCTACACAGCCAGGATCCCAACCTGGTTGGAATCTCGTAGCCGGATCAGCCACGGAGAGAAAGCACGCGTGGTCTCCAGGAGCCCAGGTAGGCCTGGGTCATAGGTGGGGACTCGCCCCTGCAGGGCGGGCCCGGGAGCACAGACGTGGCTGTTCCAAACCAGGTCAAGCTTTTGATGATGTTTGCGGGAAACTTCTAAGGAAATACAGCGCAGCAAGTTCATTTACAACTCGGGCAGAAGACACTGCGTGTGAAAAGAATCAAAGAAGGCTTAGTCGTCAAGCCCATTCAAAACTCGCAGGAGCTTGGTTTCTCGGGTGGGGTCACAGCTCTATCTGCCCAGAAGCACCAGGATGTTTGTCCAACTTGCCACCCCAGGCCTGCTGGGTCAGAATCTCTGGGAATCATAACAAAAG